TCTCACGCTTGAGGTATTCGGCTAATCACAACGCACTGGATAGCTGGCTAATCAAGCACACCTCGCTTTTTCAGATCGATGAGCTTTGTAAAAATCGACGCGTTTCAGAAAGGCGGGGCATAGAGGAGAAACAATAATGTACATTATGTGGAAAATAATGTGTTTTTTTAACTTTAAACCGCATAAACACATTTCATTACACCAAATACACAAAATAATGTTCTTTTTAGCAGCATCATATGACCCCTTTAAAGAGCATTTGACTGGACAAAACTTTGCTACATTATACATGCTAAGGGGTGAAGGTTTGGCTAGCCCCTACTGGGAGATGCTGTAATTTGTGGAAAAAAAGGTAACTGTGACCTTTTAATTTCACAATTCAGACTTCTTTTCTTGCAATTCGGACTCGCAAATTGAGAGAAACAAACTTGTAATTCTAAGAAGAAGAGTCCAAATTGTGAGATGTAAACTAGCACTTTTGAGAAGAAAATAATTAAATGTGAGATGTAAAGTCACAATTCCGAGAGTCAGAATTGTGAGATAAAAAGTTACAACTACTTTTTTGTTGTTATTTATTTCATAGCAGAAAAGAAAAACAGAATTGATAGATGTAAACTCAGAATTGCAAGAAAAGAAAAAAGTAGAATTTTGAGTTTATTTCTTGTAATTCTGACTTTTCTCTCAGAATTGTGAGAAAAAAGTCAGAAATGTGCAATAAAAAGTTGCAATTATCTTTATTTTTTTTAATCCATGGCAGAAACAGGCTACACCATCTGCGTAAAAAAAAAAAAAGCGTTTTTGGCAAGCAATAAAACATTTCATTATATTATAGGAATCAGTCTTACTAGCGTTCAAATTATTTGAACAACACTTAAAAACATAAAATGAACTTATTTTGCATATACAGCATTATATATAAAAATATTTTTATTTTAAAAATATAATAATATATTTTATATATACAAAATGTGTTTGAGATATAGATTTTCTGTACTAATCTTATCAGAGGCGTTTGACCAGCTAACAATCTGCACTGTGCCTGCATGTAGTTCCCCATCACTAACTGCATCTACAAAACATGCTGCAAGCCTTCGCACACAAATAATATGAAAATAATGTTTTGGCCAGCAGCCAGATTCATGCAAATGACAGCCCTCCATCAATTTGTCAGAATCCTGTTGAATATTATTTGCATGCACTAAAAAAAGAGAGGAAGGACTGTATTAGCAGCACTAATTGAATAGCATCTATATACAGTACCCTAAAAACACATAATTATGTAATTTTCCTGGAAATGTACTTAACTTTTTTTGGAAATGTACGTTCATTTCTACGTATGAGTTTTCTTCACATATTTCCTTTTTTCATCTCTGGCTTTTCACTGAAAAACAAATAATAAATTAGCTAAATTAGCATTGGAAATTACCTCCACCACCCTTCTGAGGTATAGGAATTTACAACCCATTCTGTTGGAATTTATTATGGGACAAAAATAAATTTTCACATATGGCTCATAATTTGATTTGATTTATGTTAATGGATGTGAAATGAATCAGCAGGGTGTCATGTTAGATAAAATTAGATATCTAACAAAATAACAAAAGAAGAATGATCATTACTGTTTAGAAGGGGAGGGTTGTAACTACTTTCCAAAGTATTACTGGGCTCACAAATATTGCACAAAATAGGCCAGTGCATATTTGCCACAATTGTCAGCGTGACTAACTCGTGTGATTTTGTTTGTTTGTTTTTTATGAAAAAAAGCTTAAAATAAAATTACCAGATA